TCATCAAATTGAATTTGTTTCCGGCGTCCCCTTAACAAATTAACACCAAGATACTTGAGAGGAAGAGTAGATGCATGACACCCAGTGAACGGAATAACCCAAGAAGCAATAGAGCGATTAACGTTCTTGCAAAAAAAGAGATTGCATTTATCTCTTTTAAATATTAATCCAGAAGTTTGTTGGAATTCCTTTAGCACCTTTATCAACAATTTAATAGCATTTTTACCGACATTAGAGAAATTGATAGCATCATCCGCATAAGCAAGGTGACTAACCAAAACCTTGTACTTATGTTGAAAGTGAGTATACATCTTTTTTGCTGCATTTCATTGATCAAACGAGAGAAATAATAAAAAAAACAATTATAAATAATAAAAAACAATTATAAATATCGTCGGAGATAAATGATCACCTTGTTTAATGCCTTTTTTAGCAAAAAAGAAACCATAGGTGTTATCGTTAACCATAATGCTGTAGTTGTTATTATGAAGCCATCTTTTAATAAGAGAAATGAAGTTGTGCTGGAAGCCACTCGCATACAAAATGTTGATAATGAAATCCCAATTGATCGTATCAAAGGCCTTTTTAATATCAAGCTTAAGAACCATATTACCGCCTCGACATTTCTTATCAAGATCCTCAATAAGTCTTGAGCAAGTAAGATATTATTAGTGATTTCATGGCCTTTAACAAAGGCTGACTGTTGTGGCGAGATAATCTTGGGAAGACGAGGTTGAATTCTAGAAAACATCAACTTACTCAAAACTTTAGAAATAATCGAAGTGAGGGAGATAGGCCGAAATTTGTCCCAACTTGATTTATCAGTACCTTTAGGAATGAGAACAATCATAGCAAAAGTAAAGTATTCTCAAAATCTTCCCCACAAAAGAAACTTTGAATAACAAGAATAATTTTCCTTTTAATGATGCCCCAACAAGAAACGTAGAATGAGGCAGTAAAACCAGCTGGACCAGGGGACTTGTTGGTATTAATATCCTTGAAAGCATTAAAGATTTCCTGCTCAGTAGGAACATCATGAAGGGAAAAAGAGGAGACATAGTCCCGTTCACTATCAAAAAGAGAAGCATTAACCGGAAGAATATGAGATTTGGTCAAAAGATGATCCATGAAATAATCAGTCGCGATTTTACCAATATCTTCATCACGAGTTAGAAGACTTCCAGGTGGAGATTTAATTTTAAGAATAGTATTGGTATTCCTCCTTTGCTTAATGGATACATGAAAGTACTTAGTGTTGCGGTCAGCATTGGAAAAAATAATATCATTTGCTTTCTGCTGAAGAAAACCTTCTTCTAACGAGATAGCCTCTAAAAGATTAGCATGAGCCGAGGCTAAATCATCCACAAGTTGCGGTGAACAAACAACTTGTCGAGATTATTTACAATCCTTTCGCCTCTTGAACCTTCTTGTGAACATTACCAAACACATTTAAATTTCATTTTCTTAATTGCGTAGCAATCTTTTTATGAAGTTGCCACAAATTGTGCCAAGGGTACCTGCACATACCTGCACACTCAACTTTTCATTTTAGTTTAACAAGATCCAAAAAAGAGTCATGAGTAATCCATATATTAAGAAACTTAAATTAATAAGAAACCGATTTAACTATGAAAGCAAGAGAAGGAGAATGAGATTATGATCAGAGGCAGCATGATATAAATGAAGAACTTTAGAGACATGAAAATGGTTGAGAAAATGTTGATTACAAAAAAAAAAAACGATCCAGCCTTTGGGCAAGGGATCCCCTTCGCTAAGTAAAAGGAGGATCAATAAAACCCAAATCAAGTATACCCGCTTCATTAATCTTATCAAAGAAACGATTGATCAAACTAGAGTTGCATCTCCCTCCACCTTTCCTTTTTGAAGGGCACATAATCATATTAAAATCCCCCCCACAAACCAATTATCATGAATAGCTTCTCTCATAATAGCAAGCTTTTGCCATAGATAATATTTATCTTGAAGTAAAGAACTTGCATAAACAAAAGTAGCTAACGCGGAGTAGATATCCATCTTAAAATGAAGCAACAAAAATTGTTACTCATTCTGCAAAATAGTAAGATCAATATTATGTTTCCAGAAAACCCAAATTTTATTATTTTTATTGAAAAAGACTTTGTACTGTTTACATTTTCTACAGATCCGGTCTTTGTTTTAGTAACAAGGGGCTCAAGAATAAAAAAAATGTGAACCTTGTGGACCCTACATAAATGCTTCAACCTATTAAGGGAGGAAGGGTCTGCCACTCCCCTAATATTCCAACACAAAATGTTAAACATTATTTCTCATGTGACCCCTCCAAGAAGACCTAGAAGAGGTGCTGACTTGTTCTCCATCCGAAAGAGATCTTCCATCAAGAATAATGTTATCCATATCATGATGTATAAGCTCATTCTTTTGCTTGCCTTTCTTCTTGCTATCCTTTTGAACCATCCATTCCTCTTCAATAGCATTAGTAGCTGCAGAAATATTTGCATGAGTAATGAGTTTATCATTTAAAGAAAGCGTGGAGCCAATATCTAATGGAAGCTTGCCCTACATCGCAGTAGATGTAGAACCAACATAGTGTGGAACTTTTCCAGCATTAATAACCCCACCCACCACCTCCAAAATAGGAGAGATAGGATGATCCCTGTCCATAGGATGATCCCCATCAACATTAGTAGGTAATGTATTAGCATTTTGCTCCACAATTATTTCAACATGAGGGCTATTATGGTTCAAAACATAAGTACCTGCCTAATTAATATGAGAAGCATCATCCATATGATGAATATTTAAGGGAACATTAGCATTAACATTCATAATATCATTAGGAGGGACATTAGGAGGGATTTCAGGTGCAGGTGCATGTAAAGGACGATTAACATCCTTTCTAAGATAAGGATGCAGATGATAACAATGCGAGGAGGTGTGCCCAAACATGTGACAATTATAATAGTAGGGAGAGTGCCTTTCGATCTCAACTTTCTGCCAATACCCATGATGCGTCGAACGAATCCAGATTTCATCACAAAAAGGAAGTGTATCACGTTCCACTAAAATGCGGGCCTCAGAAGGGCGAGATAAATTTAGCGTGGGACCATCCATTTTTAAAGGATTGCCATAAGCAGAAGCTAAAGAAAATAAGACTTCATGATTAAACAGGTGAAACTTCAAACCAGGAAATCGTATCCACACAGGGATCGTGGACGGTTCCGATTTAGGATCGAAATCAACCATCCATTTTAAAATTTTCATGAAAACATTATTAATTCTAAGAAAATGGCGAGCAAAAAGACAAGTATAGTCTTCATCATTTGAGAGTTGAATCAAAATATGCCTCCCATCCAAAGGGCCAATTTGCCAAAAACCGGTAAATTTCAAAGATTCAAATTCTCTCCTAATAATTTCAAGCTTAAGAAGACCAAAAGTAATTTTCCCAACCAACACATGTTTACAAGATGAAGCAAGAATATTAGTTTCCTCCTCCGAAACAAACCAAACAAACTTCTCATTCTTCTTACAAGTCTTCTTAATAAAATGATAATCATCATCCAAAACCAAAGCATCATGGAAAGCATTCGGGAAAATCCCCGTACAACCAATCGAAGCAGAACCGGAACCCGCCAGAGCCTCCGCAAAGCTTTTGGCAATTAAAAAACCCGAAAAGGGAACCAAGAGCCACAAAAAAGCAAGCAATCAAGAAAAAATGGAGAGATCTCATTGAAATCGGAGCAGATACCGCAAACGAGGAAGAGATATCCATTCACGCCTAAATCGCCGAAAACCTCAGAGCTCCTCCTTGCCCTAGCCGAAACATCTGAGCGATATTATAGCATAAGTTAAGACATATTATATATACATATAACATACATACATACATACATACATACATACATACATACATACATACATACATACATACATACATACATACATACATACATACATACATACATACATACATACATACATACATACATACATACATACATACATACATACATACATACATACATACATACATACATATGTATGTGTATAGATATAGATATATATAGATACACACACACACACACACACACACACATATAAACTTAATATGATCCTTCCTCAAGCTAGGATAAAGCTCTCCTTTAGTGGAGGAGAGTAGGTGCCTTGTCCCCTTGCCAGCCATGCTCTTCCACAAAAAAAATCTCCTCACACACCCAATAAATGTGGTAGGGGAGGATGAAGGAGATGAGGAAGAAGTAGAAGAAGGGGAAGAGAATGAGGGAGATAAACCCCTTTAATTTTCTTCTTTTGAGGAAGATAAAGATCTTCCACTCCTGCTCTCTACAAGCAACACTCTCCTAAGGACCTCTATGTATGCATGTATGTATGTATGCATGTGCGTATGGATGCATGCATGTATGTATGTATATACATATACATATACACACACAAGCAGCTGTGCGTATGGATGCATGCATGTATGTATACACACACACACACACACACACACAACACATAGATAGATAGATATATATATATATATATATAGACACACACACACAAACTGATGCTCCGATGATCTTCTCGCAATCCTTTCTCAAGCTAGGATAAAGCTCTCCTTTAGTGTAGGAGAGTTGGCGCCTTGCCCCCTTGCCAGCCAAGCTCTTCCATAAGAAGATCTCCTCATACACCCAAGAAATATGGTAGGGGAGGATGAAGGAGATGAGGACGAAGAAGTAGAAGAAGGGGAAGAGAATGAGGGAGATAAACTCCTTTAGTTTTCCTAAATCTTCCTCTCTTGCCCTCTCCAAGCAGCTCTCTCCTAAGGACCTCTGAGCTTTCCAAGTTTCTCCAAGGAAACTCTTTCAGCCCTCAAAATTCTAAAAAAATAAGTGGAGATTGAGACCCTTCTTTTGAGGAAGAAGTGAGCCTCCTTTGGGTTAAAATGGGTTCACTTCTTCCATTTGACCAAAATGCCCTTGGTAGATCTCCTTGGAAGCTTCTAAAGGAGGGCTGAAAGAGGTGTTTTCTAGCTCTTTTCCCATCCCCAAAGCTCATCATCACAAGGCTTGCCATCTCCACGAGCAAGCCATCGTTCTTTAGACAGAACAGAGACGATAGAAAGAGAGCAATGGAAAGTAGCTGCAGCGTATTCGCTCTCGAGCTTCCAATCCCAACAATCAAGCCCTTATCTTCTCTTCATCCCTACTTCTCATACGGCCACTTCGCTTCTTTTTTTCCAATGCCCGACACATCCCAATGCTCCTCTGGCGCCGCTAAATGTTCTACGTGCGCTTCTACTCGTATTCCTAGAAGAAGAAGAGTGCAAAACTTTCGAGCCCTGGTCCAATCAAGTAAGCAGCCATTTCTGCCTCCTTCTCCCATTCACTGCCGATTCGTTAGTGGAGTTACCATTATTGGGTTAGTTTAGGAGCAAGGATAGTTTTAATATAGGTTTTAGATAGCTCGAAGATTGCCTTTTTTAATCGAATTTTCTTGTCCTCTTTGCCTTGTGGTCGTTTTGTGTTTATTTGGAAAATGAGCGTGGAGTTTATCTTTGATCGGTATAGCCTGGATCTTTTTTTGGTTTATCTAGTAAATGGGTACTGGAAAACGAGGGGTTTCTTATTCTCTGTTAACTTATATATATTTTTTCAAATGTTACTGGCTTGTGGATTATTCTAAGTGTTTATTTGGGTGCTTGGAGTTAGTGACATGATTTTGAAAAATAATGAAAAAAATTAGATTCATGGTTTGGTTGGTTGAAATAAAGATGGCTCCACAATTCCTCTTAAAACTCTCTCAAATGTAATGATTTCATTTTCACTCATAAAATGAGCAAATACAACATCATCCATATTTTTTCAAAACATATTTTTTTCTTATCTACAATATAACAAATGAGCCATATTAGAATTTGTGACCCGAATTTTGTTGGGCTTGGATCTAAAAGTTTGATGTGTGGTACAATTGGTGCAATCAAAATCATGGGAAAATTTTTTAGGTATATGTGATGGTAGTCCCAATCTCAGAGTGCACCATTGATCCTGCAAGGATGTGGGGGTGGCAACAAGCATCCAACTTTGTAATTTTCTTTGATTATAATGATTTTTTTTTTCTTATGCTCATGGTTTTTCTTGTTTAAGGTTTTTCCCTTAAAACTGTGTGTTATTCTCTTTGCCTCTTTTGTTGCACATTGCATTAATTTTGTAACAAGCCCTAATCTTGGTGAAGTCATTGAGATTGCTCTTCAGGGATAATGGGTATCAGGAATGAGGGCTCTCCAATTTTTGTGTGTTGAAATTGTGTGGTTAACTTGATGATGAAAGGAAAGTAGCCCTTGTCTTTTTAATGCTTCCTTTTTGCTAGTTAAAGTTATGTATTGCATCTAACATTTTTTTTTTTCATTAAACTTGTTACAATAAGGTTCTATAGCAAGCGAGAGATGTATGGGAAAAGGTGAGGAAAAGGATGATGTTGAAGTTGCAAAGGGGTACACAATGACCAAATTTTGTGATAAAATGATTGAATATTTTATGCAAGAGAAGCCTCAAACTAAGGACTGGAGAAAGGTATTGGTGTTTAGGGATGATTGGAAGAAATATAGGGATAGCTTCTTCAATCGGTGCCAAGCACGTGCTGATGCTGAAAGGGATCCAAACATGAAGAAAAGGTTAAATTTACTTGCTAGGAAATTGAAGAAGGTATCAGTTGTTTACTTTGAATCTTCATGTTTTATTTTCCTTAATTGCTTATGAGTTTGATGCACTAATTTTTCCATCAATCAAGCATTTGCAATACTATTGTCATGGTATATAATTATATATAAGTTGTAGGTAGATGATGAGATAGAGACGAGTTCTTCTCTTCTCAAAGAGATTCAGGAAAATCCTTTGGACCTCAATGCAATTGTGGCAAGAAGGCGCAAGGACTTCACTGGAGAATTTTTTCGTTATCTTAATGTTCTCTCAGAAGTGTATGATGGTCTGGAGGATCGAGATGGTAATGAAATCTGAGTATCGTAATATTAAATGTGTAATTTTATTGTATTTTCAAATTCTTATGTTCATTTGCTTGGCTTCCTTTTCCTCAGGGTATCCTATATAGATTATCATCCTAGGATATATTTTTCTGTTTTACTCTCCTCTTTTTGTGGTCTGATTTTCTATACATATCATGCAGAATAAGATTTACTGCATATTTTTTAGTTGCCAAAATGCTTTCTTTATCAATCAAATAGATCCATATGTCAGTTATTAAAGTAGTCTAACAATGTTGCTATCGCATTGCGTGGCTTTCTATGTACCCATTGATAGTTGTTTCTTCTAGCCATGTGTTGTAGCCAGGAAAGTTGCTTGTGAGAGTCTTAGAATGAAGCAAACAGACCAAAATAAAGATTAATTTTAGATCCTTTTTTAAGAAATTTTTGAGAGAAATCATAGTTGAGATCTTTCACCTAATAAATGTTCCACTAAGTTTAAAATAGTTTGTGGTCTACCTGCAAACTGAAAATACAACGAGATCAGCAAGAAGCCAGCATGAAAACTTAGCAAAAGACCATTAAGGGGGTCCATTTATTCAAGCACCCAACATAGGTTCTTGAGTAGTCAGCCTAGATAACAACAAAACAATGGCACCTTTTAGCAAATTGGTTTTAGATGTTGTCTATTGCTTTCTTGTAAGTTTTATTTGATTCTAATAGAAGAACTAAGGCGAGAGCTTCTGGTTTAGTTGCACTAGAAGCTTTTTTGTCTCTCTTTCCCAATCCCTTGGGAGAATGAATGTGCAAATTTTGATAGAACCTGAATGATAATGTTATTAATTTTAACATGTTTTCCCTTTTTCTTTGGTCATTAAATGGAACAAGTTGCTTTTATTGGTTTTCTCGTCTCTTATTCTAGCCTTGCTGTCGATCTGTATTCTTCTCTGTAAAGTTACTTAGAAGCTCTGCCAATTGTGCTAATTCAGACCTGAAGACACATGGTCTTCTAATCTGCGGTGGAGAAAGTAGCTTAATATGAATTTCTAATTTGTATCCTTACTGTCTTATTGAAGAACTTATTATTTGATTGTTTTTGACTTTTCTTAGCTATCACTTGGACATGGTACTAATACCTGTGAGCATAAATTACTAAAAGCTTATATTACCATCCTTTATATGCTAAAAAATATTATTATTATTTTTCTCACTCTTATTCTTCCTCTGTCAAATTCTCTTAATATTATTTATTGTGAACCGTCCATTCTTCAATATATCTAGAGTGCTTGATAAGTAGCGCCATTGAGGCATTGATTGGTGAGTAGATTTATCAATTGATATATTGAATGTTACTTGGATAGATGAACGGTTGTTTTTTTTTAATTATTATTATTTTTTTTATGATGAATTGTTGGTTGAATAATAGATTGTTAAGATTTGCTTTTTCTCCATGTTTGTGTTACGTGATCTTTATATTGTACACTAGCATGTAAAGTTGAGATGCTCGGATTATTGATTTTTTTATTTTTCTGGGCAATTACATATATTGCACTCAAAACATTGCTATTTTTAAATTCTCACTCAAATATCAAAATTCATCATGAAACCCCAACAGATACTTCTTCGTTTTAGCAAATTCTCAATGTTTTGATTGTGGCGGCAGTTTAAAAAAACCACATGGTGCTAGTTTTCTAAATAGCAATTTTTTGAGTGCTTTGTATTTAATTATTCCTTTTTTTTCTTTTTGTTATAAGGAGGATGGATCGCTGTGTAATGACTCTACCCTTCTTTTCAACATATACTTACAATATAAACTGCAAGCTCTTATCCTTATCCCAACTGTGTGGATTTACTTGCTCACATATAAGAGTATGAATCCCTATGGCATCCATTAGAAATATGTCTTTTAATCAACTTAAAGAATGCTACTTGCATAGAAGTGGCCTAATTTACTAATTATTTGTCTTATTTTTCACATTCATTAAAAAATGATTGATTTTTCTGATTGGTTTTTCAAATCAGCACTTTGAAGGCTACTTATTTCAAAAAGTTATTTTTTTACCATGTTTCCGGCTCCCTTGAAGATTGCTGACAGAATTTCTTTGGTAAATGGTAATTAAGTAATGGCTAGACTTGGAGCCAAATGCTTGTCAGCAGTTCGTGCGTATGATTATACCATAGAGCATTTGGATACTTTGGAAGCTGCTCAGTCAAAGTTAGATGACATATTAAATTCATCATCATTAGAGGTTGCATGCGAGAAGATAAATCACTTAGCTAAGGTGAAGGAACTTGATTCATCCTTGATTCTTGTCATAAACAGAACATGGGCAGCAGCAAAAGAATCTGCAACAATGAAGAATGAGGTAAGGAGTAAGATGTTAGAAATATTTTAACAATTTTCTGCATTACAGCAGAACTTTTGATTTTTGCCCATCAAGATTTATTCTCTCAGGTTTTAATTGCATTTTTTTTTATCAGATTTGTTGTTTCTGTTGCTTTAGTGTGCATGGAAAAATGCGTTTTAAGATTTCTAAATGCCAAAAGAATGTCGTGGCAATACCAACTAGGTCTTTGAATTTTGGTAAGGCGCACGCATGTGTATAATATATTTATTTATGGGGCATTTACATGTGCCCCACCCAATTCCTGTCCATTTACATATCTAACACCTAAACTTTGTTTTTTACATTTATACCACCCAAATCTATATCACATAAAAAATATTACCATTTTAACTTTTAAAAGTGAAATACACCTTTTCATGCATAGCTATGGTGGTATGTATGTAAAAATTGAAATTTTGATGTTAGATATGTAATGACATAGGAATTGAGTGCTATGTATGTGAATCTTCCTATATATATTGATTCGCATATGCACACATGGATATGCAACAAAAACGCACAAAATTTATGCTCACCATATGGTTGGCAACAGTGTTGAATATAGCCAGGAGCTCAAATACCAGTATGCAAGCAACTCTTATTACCTGCTAACTGAACATAAATGAATGTTAGAAATCACAAAAAATGTGAATGTAAAGACGAAGATATTCAATAACTCTAGCACATATAAAGTCATTTTTTAATCTTAATCATCATTAACTTTAACTACACTATTTGGGATTGATTTTAGGTATCATTTTGTACTTGTTTGTATCAATTGCTGCATGAGATGTTAAACCTATTTATCTTAAATCATTTTGAAAAAACATGTATGTTATCTTAGGTTTGCAGCTTTTTCCTGCCTAATCTTTCGACACTAGTTATTTATATACAACCTTTTAATTAATGCATTTTCTAACTAGGAGCATGCATATGATCATAAACAAAGACATGCGATATACCAAAAAGTCATAAGGATATTTAATCTATTATCTAATCAAGACCATTATATAATGATTATTATGCAAGCCGTTGGTTGCCAAAATTTTGTCCTTAGAAGGAAGCCAACTACATTTGAATTTTTCAAAATGTTAGATCTATACACAAAATTATAGATCATGTTTGAGATCGAAACAGGAAAAAATGCGTTTTTCGTGATTTGGGTGTTTTAAAAACAACTGTGTTTCATTTAAAAATAAAATTAAGAAATAAAATAAAAGACAGCTAAATATTATTTTTCTGTTTGTTTTTTATTTTTTGTTTTCAAAAATAAAAATATAAAACAAAAATTGATCTGCAATGTTCCCTAATATATCAATAAATTGTATATATACAAAGAAGAAATAGAAGCAGGAGTAAATAGTAAGAAAAGACACTCTTAATTCTTTATTTTGGTAACTCAAATATGGATTTTTTCAAGCTCTTTCTTATCCATTTTCTTTTCTCTAAACTGCCTGTAGAATCGGTCTAATATTAAAGGGATTTGATGAGAACTATGCCTATGTACAGCTTAATATTCCCACAAATCATTTAGGATAATTATTTGTAAAATATCTCAAAATATGTATATAAAATTAATTTTTTTTTCAACTTACCCATATAAGATGCTATTATAGCTTATTATTATCTCAGCAACCCACAGTGATGATATAACATTTGCATGATATACAAAACATAGTGAAGCTAATGCTTGAGGGCTTATTGTTGCAATATCTATTGCTCTGCATACCCCTTTCTCTCCCCTCTTTTCTTCCTTCTAAAAAGCCATATGTTGAAGGTGATGCTGTAAGAGAGTTTTTTTTTTTAAAGGGGCATCTACGCACATAGCACATAATTCTTAGGTATATACATATCTCACATATATACTTTCATATTTACACACAACAATAAAATGTTTAACATCACATTAAAAATAGTACTAGTATCACTTTTTAAAAGTGAGATGCACCTTTCCATGCATAGATATAAAGCATCCTATTGCTATATATGTAAATATAGAAGTTTAGGTATGAGATATGTAAATACATAAGAATTGTATGCTACTTACGTAAAATTCCCTTTTTTAAATTGCATGGCATGTTTTTGATAAATACTTTGTTTATTGCATAGTTGTGGTTCTTTCCAATCAAAATTATTACAAATTCTATGAGGTTGAAAGTAATTGTAATAGAATTTCATCTTCTAATATCGGGCATTATCCTTCCCATTTAAAAGCTAATTTCAAATTGATCTTAAAATTTTGTCCAGTTTGACTTGACTTCGACTGCTTTTGGAAGTTAATGGCTAAGTTTATAATGGATATGCCGCAAAAGCTTGCAACTTGGATATTTTCTTTATAATCATGTATTTTGCATTTATAAATAATTACATAACGCAGACTGGATTATAAGTTAATACAATCTTTTCATTTTTTTTTTTCAGATTTTCCCTTTGAGTTCATTTTTTTCCAGATTTTCGCTTGATTTCTTAGAATCACCATTATAATTTTGCAGGTTAAAGACATAATGTATCGTATATACAAAGAAACAAGGAAAGCTTTAAGAAATATGGCACCACCAGAGATGAAGTTACTAAAATATTTACTGAACATAGTTGATCCAGAAGAACGATTTTCAGCCCTAGCAACTTCCTTCTCTCCTGGAGGTGAACAAGAAGTGAAGGATCCCAATGCTCTGTACACGTAAGCAACATTTACCAAAAATACGATGCTGAGTATTGTCTTCTTCTCTTATTCTTTTAGTATTTTTGCTTTTGTATTGCATGAGATTTGACAAGTAACAGTTAAAATCATGATGAAGCTATGAAGCTGACTTAAATAAACATATCAATACATTTCAGAAGACAACTAAACTTTCTACTGATAACTTTTTGGTAGATATAGAATTAAGAAAAATGAAATTGTAATCCATGTTAATATTATTAATTGATTGTTAAAAGATTGACACTCCTTCCTGCCAATGACATGTTATTATAGTTATTGCTCCAAGTTGGCATCCACACATCTCATGCTTGCTTTAATTTCTTAAATAACCCTTTATTTTTAATCGTGTCTAGAGCTCTGACAATTTCAGTCTAAGATTAATCGTTCTATGGACATCTCCAACAATTCAGCTAATCTCCAGGTTTCTAGTTCCGTTTAGCCGTATGCCTTCATGGCCATACTACACTCTGTCATCCATGCTGCGAAGTGATCAGACAATTTTTATTTTTTGAGCATTGACATACATACCACTCAATTCCTCTGTATTTACATTATCTAACCCCTAAACTTTACTTTTTTACATTTATACCCCCCAAAATATTAATATCACGTCAAAAATACAATTTTTTTTTAAACTTTGATAAGATTAAATATACTTTTTTCATGCATAGGTAAGGTGCCACATATGTAAAAATTAACATTTAAGTGTTAGGCATGTAAATACATCGGAATTGAGTGGTATATATGGAAACCTTCCTTCTCTTAAATTTTTTTTTCTTTTTTCATTCTCAACCCTGCAGTAATTGTATTGTTTGATATTTTCATGATAGAACACCCAAGGAGCTGCACAAATGGATAAAGATAATGCTGGATGCCTACTCTCTCAATAAGGAAGAGACTGACTTTGTAGAAGCTCGGCAAATGAGTGATCCCATGGTGATCCAGAGACTCTTTATTCTGAAGGAGACAATAGAGGAGGAATACATGAAAAACTACAAAGTCACCAATGAAAAAGAATCAGAATCTGAACCAGAACCATTAGATTAGAAACCCAAACATTAGGCTTTGTTTGATAATGTTGTAATTTCGTTTTTTTATTATTTACTCATTTATTTTGTTGTTGTAATTATTCTGTTATGTTGAGCGGATGACAGTTTCAGTAAATTATTGTTGAATTTGTCCAAAGTTTTGCAAAAATTATGGTGGTTTTGATGTTTGTTTGTTATGAGCATGAAATGTTATTATCATATAATTTAGTTTTTATTAGCTTATTAACTTAATGTTTAGTAGTTTCATCAAGGTGAACAATTCATTCATTAATCAATGAATGATTAATTAATATGTTTTTATCATAATTACTGATGTTTGATTTATTGGTTTTGTACTGTTATAAGCATTAATTATTATGTATTTATCTGTAAAGTTAATTTGTTTAATTAAAATTTATTATACAATTAATTAATCTTTAAATAATAGCTAATTTATTGCAATACAAATTCATAATAAGAGCCTTCCAATGTAGAATTTAAAATATGGCCATTGATTAACTAGGCTTTGGATGTTCAAGTAATGTAGTTTATTAAGAGCTAGTCCCACTAATAGACAACTTTAAGCTAGGAGGGAAGGAATTCATGAATGACAACAAAAATTGCTTGAAATCCTACTCATCTCCATCCTTTTTGACTAACCCTACATGTTACCAAGAGATGAGTTGATGATAAATAATGAAATAAAATTAGTGAGAAAGGCTAACATATTATTAGTAAAATTTATAGTTTTGATAATCGAAAGGATCATTGTAGGTTTAATCGACCTTTGTTGCAACTTGGGTTGTCACCCAATTGTAATTACTACTTGTCTCGGATGTTAGAGCACATATCTAGGCAGATTAGAGCACATGCATATGAAGGTTAGATAATTATTTATGCACTAAATGTTTCTATTAGTTGCTAACCTAGTTGAGATTGCACAATAGCATTGACAATATTGTAGTTGGGGTCACACATTGCCAGCAAATCATCATTGTTGGAGATCACACAAATCTAATAAGTTTCCAATATAAAAAATCAAGGTGTATTCCCTTGGAGGCTTACACATGCTTCCTACTTTCACTTCAATGGATTATTTCCTCAATATACACATATCATTCATATGTATAAAACAAATAAATATAAATACTACAATAAGAAAAATAATTCAGAATATTACATAGTCACATCTATAAATAATACTCATCAATTCATAAAGAAAAATAAGAGAATAAAAGAAGGTTCACGTCTATTTATCAAGGAAGGCTATTAAATGATTGGTTCAGGACTATCCACCTGAAGTAAGCACAAAAAGTTGAATTCAATGGTTTCTGAGTACTCACACATTGGTTGATCAATGGTTTATTCACTTGGATTTTGGCAAGACTCATGCTCAACACTCTCCTTCACTCACACAATTCAATATGGGTAAGTGGTGGATAAGGCTTTTGGCACTCATATGGGAGGCTATGAGAATATTTGACAAGTTTGACATATATTATCTCATGAGTAACCTTTTTCACAAGAAAATATACTTTTTTATTCAAATTCCTGATTAATGACCACCACTAAATTTTCATATAGTTCAAAAGCAAAAGTGAACTCAATTTGGGTTGATTTCTCTCAAAATGTGAAACTAAACACCAAAGGCTGTTCGATATCTTAGGTTTGTGCAACATAAAGGTGACCAACATCTACATCCATATATGTCTTATGTCTTATAATGCGTTGTTATATATATATATATATATATATATATATATATATATATATATATGATTTTCAATTTTTTCATAATTAGAATAATCCTTTTAATTTGATTGTTTGTTTGAGAATGAGATGCTCTGTTGAAGTCGAGTTTGGTCCATATATAATTTCTTTTTTTTTTCTTTCTTAAGCATAAGGTGAATGTCCCATTATGATATGAAAGAGTTATTGTAGGTGCACTCTGAACATTGATATCTAATGTATAATTAGACAAGCAAATCAACCATATGATTGTTGAATAGAAAATCAATCCTCAATTTTGGGAAATTAGTCAATTATGACCAAAATAGTTTCAAGTCTTTATGACAATTTATGTGAACCATCCAACGCCCATTTTGATGTCTTCCTACTTTACACCCATATGGATAATGACTATGATAATGTTACGTCACTTGACGTGGGTTTTCATATTTCTTACTTATTGCTTTTGTGACTTTCACCATGTGTAAATTTATACACTTAAAAATCTTTGATGTCCTTCAATCTTGGTGATCAAAAATGAGTTTTTGGATCTTGACACACCTTGTTGACTTCAAGGAAAATGGTTTACCTTAAAACACATGCTTCATAAAGCATGTCCTTTCACACTAAGATTAGAATTTATGTGGTCGAGGGTATTTTGACATATCCACTGTGTTGCATTAGAAACCATGTGTTGGCCTGAGTGCTACAATAGAGTCAGTTAACTTGAAAATTCATATCTTAAGGGTTAGTATGTTTTTATAGGCTTAATTGTTTTATGCCAATCTTGATTTAAGGCCATATCTTTTGCTTTAGTTATGCATGTTCTTATTAGACATTCATAGGAGGATGTAGCTTGGTGCATGCTTTCGTTGATGATATAATTCTTTTGGATAAGACTAAAGAAAGTGGTCAAGAAAAACTTGAATTATGGAGATCAACTACAGAGTCTAAAGGCTTTTATTTGAGTAGATCTAAAACCAAATACATGGAATGTAATTTTGGTATTAGTAGATCTAGTAGCAAACTTGTAAAAATGGGTGATCAAGTCATTAAAATGAGTAAATTTTTTATATATCTCAAGTGTATTATTCAAAATGATGGTGATGTAGACGGGGATGTTATTAATAGAATTCAAGTTGGATGGTTGAAGTAAATGAATGCATCGAGCCTATAATGTGATAAAAAGTACCGCTTAGACATAAAGGAAAAAATTATAAGATGGTGGTGGGACCTGTAATGCTTTATGATGCAAATTGTTGGCCAATAAAATAGATACATAATATTAAGTTAAGTGTTGCTAAGATGAGAGTTCTTATGTGGATGAGTGGCTTTACACTTAGAGATAAAATGTGAAATGAATATATTCATGAAAGAGTTGGTGCAACTTCAGTGACAGACAAGATTAGAAATAGTCATCTTAGATGGTATGACCAAATTAAATGTCGACCATCTTATGAACCAGTCAGGAGTAAATGATTTAGATTTGACTTATTCTAAGAGAGGGGAGACATGCATAAAAAGACTCGAGCAAGCTGTATAAAAATGATCTTAATTTATTATATTTATATGAAACTATGACACTCAATAAGACACAATAGAGAAAAAGGATTCATGTAGCCAACCTCACTTATTAAGATACATGCTTTTTATTATTGTTGTTACTGTTGTTGTTGCTTGAGAAAGCTTATATCCTAATTAGATTGTGATGATATAATTAATTTCAAGATTTGTACATTTGAGTGCTTTTGAGTTGATTGAAGAGCTTGTATCCCAATTTGGCCGAGATGATGTTAGAATTTCAAGAAATAAAATTCTATTTAAATGAAGTTTTATTCTTATTTTATGCTAACTTGATTTAATATTAACGTACAAATTAATTTTTTTTCATTAGGCTTAAAAGATGTGTTAATTTTGCACCATGCCATTGCTTTGAAAGTGAGGACACATTAGTTAGGCCTATACCTTTGATCTGGAGGAAACCTAAAGTTTTTTTGACTTTATATGAGATTTTGCTAGAAAATGGCCTAGAAGTAATATAACATATGTGGTATAAAATATCTTAGTAATATTCACATTTGTGATTATTAGTTTATTTTACTTTCGGACCTTATTTTTTGTTTAAACTTAAGGATAAGTAGATTTAAGAGTCTGAAGGACTTATAGCTTTATTGTGAGTTATTTTAGAGTTGGAGCTTATAGAACTTAGCAATACGAGATTTGAACTTAACTTGACGCCTAGAGCTTTTAATTCATGACTTCGGAGGAGTAGGAAGAATCACGTTTCATAACCTCATGGAAGAGCTTAAAAGTTATTAGCATGTTTACTTTGTTTGTGGTTCTAAACATTAAGTCTTAATATTGTTTTATGGCTAACCTCTTTTCTAGGTGAACAAGAATTAAAACCCTAATGTAAAGGAGGCCAAAGAATTCAATTAACTTTATTTAGTTTACTATTTTGGAAGTTAATGGTTAAGTGCAAATAAATAGGGAAATATTCATTGTAGTCCACAGAGCATGATCATCAACTGTTTGAGTGAGCGAGGCAAGTGTGTGGGAGAATTTGGAGAGTGTCTCTAAGAGTTGTTAGAGGAGAGGAAAAATGAGAGATTTCTTTTTTCCTTATATTTCTAAGAGAGATTTGAGTGTTATTGTAAAGAAAGAGTTTCAAAGGAACCTTAAGGGATTTGCTTGGGAAAGAGATCAAGTTAAGTTGTTTTACTTTTGTTTTTATTTTGTAAACATATATATATATATATATATATATAATCCATGTTTTGTCGTATCCTTCTCACGATATAATATATATATATAACTCATGTTTTTTTGTATTTTCCTCATGAATTCTGAGTAGATTTGTTTGTCCATATTCCTACATAGAGATATGGTCATGTTAAGAATCAAAATTGTTGTGCAATATTTTAATTTCATAATTGTGATGATTCAAACTTCAAACTTCATTTACTTTTTGATCTGACCAATTGAATTGTTAAAATTTATTATGAAACATACGATCCGAGAGGGCTATGCTTTCTGCAATAAAGTAAGAATCATATTCCATTTCATGGATGATAATGTAGTCTACGTGGTTGAGTGAAAATAAATAGGGAAATATTTATTGATGGGCGTAGAATTGAAGATTTTAGGTAAGAGATTAAAATCCCCAATTTGGTCCAGACGTTTAGAAATTAAAACGAGATGTTAGCCCACATGTGAGGGGAACGTGAGAACTCTGGAGTGATAGTCAGTATCTTCCCAGCCTAATCGCAGATTTAGGGACTAAACACTGAATTGGCCAATGTTATTTGTTTCTTGTAGAAAGGATAAAGAATATAATTTCTCATATTTGACACAATACAATTTTCTTTAATTTGATAATTCACTGACTAAATTCTTGTTGTAAGGGGATATATACTTTCTTAAATTTGA